TTTATTAGGTATACAGTGTTCTGTCTGCATGTATCCCTGCAGGCCAGAAGAGGGCGCCAGATCTCATTACAGATATGGTGCCCTCAGTGCTCACAACTGCTGAGCCATTTCTCCAGCCCCCCCCCCACTTTTTTAAAGTATTTATTTACATTACAATATTCTGTCTGTGTGTGTGTCTGCAGGCCAGAAGAGGGCACCAGACGTCATTACAGATGGTTGTGAGCCACCATGTGGTTGCTGGGAATTGAACTCAGGACCTTTGGAAGAACAGGCAATGCTCTTAACCACTGAGCCATCTCTCCAGCTCAGTGGCTCACAATTCTGAAAGAGGATCTCTGTGAGTTCCAGGTTAGCCAGGACAATGTAGAAAGACATTTCTCTTTTAGACATAAAGAAAAAAAAAAACATGCCGGGCAGTGGTAGCGAGGTCCTTTATTCCCAGCACTTGGGAGGCAGAGGTAGGTGGATCTCTGTGAGTTTGAGGCCAGCCTGGTCTACAAGAGCTAGTTCCAGGACAGGCACCAAAAACTTCAGAGAAACCCTGTCTCGAAAAAAACAAAAAAAGAAAGAAAGAAAAAAAGCAGCCTACAATTCACAATCCCAGAGAACCTAGACAACAACAAGGACCCTAAGAGAGACATATATGGATCTAATGTACATGGGAAGTAGAAAAAGACAAGATCTGAGTAAATTGGGAGCATGGGGACCATGGGAGAGGTAGGAGGGGAGAGGAGAAGAAGGGAGGGGAGTGGAGAAAAATATATAGCTCAATAAAAACATTTTTAAAAAGAAAAATAACATTTCTCAAAAATAAGTAAATAAACAAGAAACAAAAAAAAGAAAGGAAATACACATTTAGTGGAGCTTGATGGGCCTCAGGGAGACAGCGCTCAGTGGCAAGACAAGGCGCAGGATGCAGGCTCCACTCCAAGGAGGTCCCTAAGGTCTTCAGAACTACGAGACAGGGATGTCCAGTTCTGGAGCCTGGGATGCAGTTGTAGAAGATGAACACAGCTTTCGTATGGCAAGGTGGAGAATCCTGGAAGGGTATGGTGACAATAGCTGTACAGACATGGGGATTGTGCCTTAGTAGGCCAGGCTGGTCTCAAACTCACAGAGATCCCCCTGCCTCTGCCTCCCGAGTGCTGGGATTAAAGATGTGCACCACCACAGCCCAACTTATTTTGTTTTTCAAGACAGAGTTTCTCTGTGTACTCCTGACTGTCTTGGAACTCGCTCTGTAGACCAGGCTGGCTTTGGACTCACAGAGATCCGCCTGCCTCTGCCTCCTGAGTGCTGGATTGTGACATTCATTCTCTATTTTTAAGCAGTTCTGATGGTCCTGGAGCAGGACTCAGTGGTGGAGGGCTTGACTAGCATACGCAAGGCTCTAGCTTGCTTCTCCGTGCTGAAAGAAATAAGTTAATCAGATACAAAGGGCTACTGGAGGGTGAGAGTGGAGCTGTGGGCACACGCACCGCACACGCATCTGTGTAAGGACTGAATTCCACACCCAAGAACCACCTCACGACACGAAAGGGACCATGGTTGTCAATAAATGTTGAATGCCCTAAAATAATTGTTTGAAAAAATAGAACCTGCCAGGCAGTGGTGGTGCATGCCTTAATTAATCCCAGCACTCAGGAGGCAGAGGCAGGCGGATCTCTGTGAGTTGAGGCCAGCCTGGTCCACAAGAGCTAGTTCCAGGACAGGCTCCAAAGCAACACAGAGAAATCTTGTCTCAAAAATAAAACAAACAAACAAACAAACAAAACAAAAAAACAAAAAAGGGAAAGAAGCCGGGCAATGGTGGTGCACGCCTTTAATCCCAGCACTTGGGAGGCAGAGGCAGGCGGACCTCTGTGAATTTGAGGCCAGCCTGGTCTCCAAGAGCTAGTTCCAGGACAGGCTCCAAAGCCACAGAGAAACCCTGTCTCAAAAAACAAAAAAAAAAAAAAAAAGGGAAAGAAAACAAATAGAACCTAGGGTTGGCTCTGAGGACAAAGACACTGTTTCCTTTGTCCAGTCACCACGATGGACTGTATCCTTGCACTAAGTCAGAATTAACACTTCTATTAAAAAAACTTTTTTTTGTATCTGTTTTTTTTTTTTTCTGGGCAGTGGTGGCACAGGTCTCTAATTACAGCACTTGAGAAACAGAGGCAGGTGGATCTCTGTGAGTTCGAGGCCAGCCTGGTCTACACAGTGAGTTCCAGCACAGCCAGGGCTAAGCTATATAAAGATACCCTGTCTCGATAGTAATAATAAATAATAAGAGAAATAATAATTTTTAAAATTAAAACTTGAATGCCATCCGCTCAGTTTCGGGTGTTGATGGGAGGGGAGGGTAAGCGCCAAGAAACACAGATGGTTTTTCAGAGGAGGGGGTCGTCAAGGATGGGGCCAGCTCTCATGCACTGCAACTGTTTGTTAGAAGTATGTCCTGGAACTTCAAGCAGGGATGACTAACCATGATGGAATAACCCGCCTGGTGAGGGGACTTCAAGGCAGGAGAACATTCTGGCGGTGGCGTGGTTGCTGCCCGCTGTACCATGTTCAGATTTTCAGTGAGGAAGAGCCGAAAAGGGCACGGTTTGGGGAGGAATTCTGTGTGAGGCACAGTCAAAGCTTCAGCCGCAGCGGAGGACAGGACTGAAATGAAACCTGACATTATGCCGCAGGACAGCAGGAAGGCGTCCGGAGGGTCAGACCCCCTCGGCAAAGGCTCCAGTTTGTGAAAAGCCAGAAGCTGAATGACTCATTCCATCCAAACTGTCCCTGTCCCTTCCCCGCCAAAACACAAGCTTCTCAGGAGCCCAGGACCAGCACACAGACAGGCTGAGGCTGTGGCCCCAGGTGACCAGATGCCTTCCTGACATGCCTTTGCCCTCTGCAGCCTCTCCCACTTGGTACCAGTTCTGCGACATTTCTTGAAAGGATCATGGTGTCCTGCTGCACGGTGATCAAGAGCCACTGAGGCCAAGGAAGGTGTGGCAGGCTGAAGTCCACAAATGGAGTCCGGAGAGTCCACTCTGTGAAGGAGGCTGTGGGTGAGGCCTAGGTTACAGTGGGGACCCAGGCTGCCATGGTTGGGTTTCCATAACTGTGATAGAACACGGACCAAAAACAACTTGGGAGAAGGGGTTTATTTTGTCTAAGGGAGTCAGGACAGAAACTCAAGCGGGGCAGGAACCTGGAGGCAGGAGCGAACACAAAGGCAATGGAGGATGCAGCTCACTGGCTTGCTTGTCATGCTTGTTCAGAACCCAGGACCGCCAGGCCAGGAGTGGTCCTGCCCACAATGAGTGGGACCCTCGTGTCAATCATCAATCAAGACCCATAGACTTTCCCATAGATCTGTGGCAAATCATCCCGAGAGGCTCCCTCCTTCCCAGCTGACTCTAGCTTGTGTCAAGTTGACAAAATGCCCTGCGCTTCGGTGAAGCCAGACTGTGTGTCTGCTGAGGTAAGCGGCAGACAAGCGGCAAGGAGAACCCGCGTGGGCTGCACGGGCAGAGAGGGGCGGGGCTCCCCAGGCCCCAAGGAGCCCAGATGACTCTATCGTGAGTCACAGAGGCAGGACGTGGAGCTGCAGGATTTGGGGTTTGCCCTGCTGGGTGTTAGTCTTGTTTTGGTTGGCTAATTCTTTGCTGTGTTCTGATTTGTCATCAAATCAGGAGGGATGTTCACTCTGTGCACTGTTTTTACCTCACAGGGAGTCGCAGTTAGGAAATTGCATTCAACTTCAGGAGATGCTTTGTACTTTTGAGTTACAGAACATGAAAACTCTCTCTTTTCCAGAAAGGGTTTCTCTGTGTAGCCCTGGTTGTCCCGGAACTCACTCTGTAGACCAGACTGGCCTCAAACTTAGAGATCCTCCTCCCTCTGCCTCCCGAGTGCTGGCTGGCGATGGAGTTTTTTTTTTTTGTTTTGTTTTGTTTTGGTTTTTCGAGACAGGGTTTCTCTGTGGCTTTGGAGCCTGTCCTGGCACTAGCTCTGTAGACCAGGCTGGTCTCGAACTTACAGAGATCCGCCTGCCTCTGCCTCCCGAGTGCTGGGATTAGAGGCGTGTGCCACCATCGCCAGGCGGCGATGGAGATTTTGAAGCAGGACTGAATCCATTTTGTATGATGAGATGGCCACAGGCTGCTGGTGGTGTTTAATCCCCGCACTAGGGACGCAGAGGCAGGAGGATCTCTTTGAGTCTGAGGTCAGCCTGGTCTATAAAGTTAGACCCTGTCTGAAAGGAAAAGCAAAAACCCATTTT